TCTCAGGCCAATGGATTCAAGACACGGGAAGGGAAATTTGCTGCTTAGCCCACAAGAGGCCTTTTAGTAGCACGGGGCAATCGACCCAGTCCTGGGGCCAGCCTCCAAGAGAGCAGCCCGTCAGTCCCTGCAGGTGCCCCTTAAGGGATGCAAAGAAAGCATCCCAGCTACGAGCGGGCGCTCTTCTTAGGTGCGAGGCTGAACTGATGCACCTTGCTCTTTCCCAGCCATGCTGGGTTGCGCAGGAGCGGAGTCTGAGCCCTGTGGGGGCCGTGTTCAGACTCCCAATGCCCTACCATAGATTTCCAGGCACAACCTGGAAACAGGCTTCTTGTCAAAGGAGGAGCAAACTACTGGCTGGAGATTCGGGTGCCCTGTGAGGTTTGGGCAGGCACGGGTCTGAAAACTGAGGGCTGGAAAGGAGACATACAAGTCCTTAGAGTGCGTGATGGATACAGACGACCTTTTCCTTCGTGCACACACGGCAAGAGACAGACCCTGATGGGAGCTTGTAGGTGGGAGCGCAGTACAGACAATACTGATGCAATGGTTTGTAGAGAGAGGGGCCTTTGAGAGGTCTGAAAGGGTCGAACCAGGAGTAACAGAGTCAAGCGGAGTAGAAATGAGTCATCTAAACCCAGACCCAGTACTGTAAGGAACAACCTTGTCTTGGCTTCGGGATGGACTGCAGTTCCCAAGTTAAAGCCATGAAGAGACCTGTGAATTGGCTTCACATTCCCATTAGCACCTTAAAATGCTTCTACCCCCCATCATCCTCATCCTGAATTAGTACTAACCTGAGTATGGGTTGTTAGCAAGGCTCCCATCTCTGCCCGTCAAGGTTGCAGGAGCAGGGAATGTAATTCCATAATAATCCTGAAAAAGACAATACTGATTAATACTCGAATGCATCACAAAGCCAGCCTGTTTCACGAATGCTGCCTTATGCCCATGCAAAGGCTCATGGAAGCAGAAGAATCCCAACACCACTGGGACAGACAAAATGGGTTTATTCTTCTCTCCTGCCATACATGCAAAATCAGGGAAGCATGGCCAGCCACGGACCCGGGCAAGCTGTGGCGGAGTGGAAGATTTGGAGTGGCAGCACTTGAATCCGCCACTCTACAGAGCCCTGTTTCTGAATCATGTTTGATGCTTTCTCTTTAAAAACAAGTTCCTCGGCTGATGGCAAGTGTCCCAGCTCTGAAACACAAGTCCTGCCTTGGAAAACCTCCAGACATTAGCTAAGAACAGTGCTTGGTCCTGCCATGAGGGCAGGGGACTGGACTCGATGACCTCACAAGGTCCCTTCCAGTTTTAGGATTCTAATTCTATGATATTAATCAAAGAGGTGCCGGGTCTGGGATAGAACTTGGGCACAGAAGGGAGCTTGGGGTAAGGGCGTGGGAGTGTAGGATCTGAGAGGGAGTTTGAGTGTAGGAGGGGGTCTGTGACTTGAGGCAGGGATTGGGGTGCAAGGTCTGGGAGGGGTTTGTAGGAGTGGGTGCAGGGTCTGGAAGGGGTTATAGTACAGAAGCAGAGGGTTGGGGTGAAGGAGGTGCTGGGTGCCAGACGCAGGCTCTGACCAAGAGACATTTACTTGGGTGGCTCCCAGCCAGCAGCCCAGCAGGTTCCTCAGCCAGGGTGTCCCTGCACTGGCTGCAGGGGCCGTGTGTGGCTAATTCTGGATGCTGAGAGCCTGGGGAGGGGAGTGTACCTAATGCGCTGTCTGTCCTGCAAATAGGCAGCTCCCAATGGCTGGAATCTGGCCAATGGGAGCTGCCAGATTTTGCTGGGGATGGGAGCAGCATGTGAAGCCTCTGCTCTCCCCACCCCTGGGCTTGCAATGTTCAGAGATGCTCTGAGCGCAGAGCAGGAGTGGGGCAGGCAGGGAGCCTGGCAGAGGCTCTTGCAGGCCAGATCCAGCGGCTTGGCAGACTTTTGGCCTGCCCCTGTATTAAAAGAACCAGGTGCTAGAAGGGTACAGAGAGTTACTATCCCAGACGGAGGATATGTTTAAATTTTTCCTACTACAGTCGCACCCAGAGGGTCAGGATCTATTCCGTTAGGTGCGGTACAGACTCGGAATGGGAGCTGATCCGTGTCCCAGACAGTTTCCAAATCACAAGCACAAAGAGATGTAGGAGAAGCACCGTCAGTTGTATGGCGCTCCCGCCCCTCTGCCCCTCCATAAGCACCCCAGCAGCTGCCCCACTCCCGGTCTCACCCAACCCGCGCCCACACCATCCATCCAAAAAGCCCTTCACCCACCCCACAGTGCTGTGTCCCCACCAAAATAGGTTAATTTAGTTTGGGGAAAGGAAACGATTTGAAGGCTGCATCCAGATGATCCTCTCCCCCCTCCCACATACATGATGCAAGATCCTGTAAATATCTAGCCACAAAACTCTTTGAGACTGTTTTGCTCTCATACTTCATGGTTCCTTCCTACCCTGCCCTAAGCAGCGCTACGGCAAACTCTTCTCCATCTCTGCGGTACACTAAATAGGTCAGAGCTTAACAGTCCTGCAGGACCACCTGGACACCTTCTTGTAATCGGATATGGCCATTTGTCAATATCGTTTGCTTACCAATCTCCCTGCCAGTTTGCAATCCCATGTGACTGTCATTGCCAATATGAATTCAATGTCATGATCACTACCAATTCTCGGCTAAAACCCTGTCAAATTCAAGTGTTTTTTTTACCCAGACCATCCCTCTGCAAGATAAACACCACAAGGAGCTTCAAGGGAATCTGAGAGGAACATGAGTTTTGACCCAGTGCCTGATATTCCTTGGGGACAGTCGAGGGGTACAACAATTATCCACTCACACCTGTATGTGAACAACTCTGCAGAACAACATTGGGAAGGACGCTACATCCCATTATCCTTCACACCACTTCAAGTAAAATCCAGATTCTCCTTCCCCTTCTAGCCCCATGAAAAAAGTCCTCAGAGAAACAGCACAGACAAATATCCCAAAGGAATGTGTGAGTTGTTTACAAAGCAAACCCACATTTACCCATATGAGTGTGTCGGGGAGGAAAGGGGCATGGGGTTTTGTTCTTAAAAACAGCTCAGGTGTTATGTTGTTGGCCACACACAATGTGGGGTTTAATGAGCCATTGAGGAGCGCCAAGTCCGCATGATCACAAAACACAGACCCTACAGGGCTGATATCGAGGTGATATAAAAGTTCTAACACAGACATGGAGCAGCAACACAGTTACACAAGACAACAGAGCAAATGAGTCAATAAATAATGGAGCCATGCTACCTAACCTGGGAAATGCTGGTCTGATGCCAGATCAGAGACTGTTGAAGCAGTTACAGTATCCTTACTCCAATGGCCCCACAAAATATTATAGAGAACCCTTAGTATGCACGCTGGAGGTGTGGAGAATGGGCCCATTCATAGCTGGTGGGAGCACCCCATCATCCACAATTAGTTCTCCAAAACCTATGGGATGGTTAAACCTGCCCCCTGCTAGTCCTGGTGTCACTGGAGTCTACCACCACATCCATTATCCCAGAGAGCTGCCCCATAGTGGAGCTCTGGAGAGAACAGCCCCGCAGGTCCGGCAGGAGTTTGTTATGCTGATGCTCAGAGGTGAGGGAAGACAGCTGTATCGTTCTTACTGCATTGCTCCTCTTTTTAGACATGTAACTGAATGACTCGCACAAAAGCAACAACCTAAATCACTCTAAGCCATTTACTCCAGTACAAGTATCAGGTGCCAGAAAAGGGCACGTTGTTTTTACCCCAATACAATGCATTTTCCTTGGTTGCTATTAACCACTGGATCTGTAGTTTATCCACAATCTTCCTGTGTAACACCCGTTTGACCGAGCAACGGCTAGGAACTCCCGGTTGCTCCCATTACGTCTGGTTTACAAATGTGCTTTTTTAAAGGCCATTAAGCACACTAGGTTAAACCCCCTCCATTTTAATGCAAATTCTTATTTATGTTTCCAATAGGCTTGATATAAGAATTTTTAAAAGTTATTTACTTTTCATCATCTAAGCTGCTTGTTCACTTTCCCCCTTCCCAAGTTTCTACCATGAGCAATCAATTTCACTTTCCTTTCTAGCCAGTTTCACTTTCTAGATCTCATAAGCTGTCACACCGCAGCAAAGACTGCAAATGCCACAGCCGGAAAGTTTCAAAAGCCCACAAGGCTCTGCTTGGGATGATGTTTTAAGAAGGTAAATAAACAGGCCCATGCAGTCCCATTATCAGATCTGCCTGGAACCGGAGCCAGAGTGGATCATCAAAAGAACTGGATAATCCCGAGAACAGGACCATGTACGGATGCATCTCCATCTAGTGGCCACTGGAGGGGTTACCCACTTCTGGCCCTGCATGTTCTGGCTGTTCAGGTAAATGGAGGGTCAGATAAACTGGGTTCCACTGTATTCAGTAAAAGGTTATAAAGATAAGGTGGGTGTGTCTAGTATCCTGGTTCCAACAAGGCTATGATACCGCATACAGTTTTATAAGACATTTAATAAGAAAGCCAGCGATGTAGAGCCTGAAATACCTGACAATGGTCCTTTACCTACAAAGTCAACCTCCCTGGACTACCCTGAATATTACATCTTCATATTGTGTTCTTCCAGCCCGCTATTAATCGTATTTCAATTTAAAAATAGGAGCTCACAGAGGTAGGCTATAACGGCCTCCGTCAGAATTTGGCCAAAGGACATCCCCTCAATTCTTTGTAAATGTTACTTTGGGATTTGTAATGACCTCACATGCTCAAGACACTGGTTTTGCAGCTCATCGGAAAGGCAGTCTGCCAACAGACTACGATGCCACATGTACACAGACACCAGTGCAACAGAGACTTCAAGTGAAGGGCATCACCCCAGCTGGATCACAGCGTCCAGACCAGTTCACCAGAAAGCACGGAGACAAGCCACTACACTCTCTGCAAGAGTCATAATTACCTTCCCACCTAGGGGCCTCCTCCAAGCGAGCGGCTTGCAGACTCACCAAGAGTGCTCCCCACGGTGCCCTCGGCGCACTTCCAAGAGTGGGAATTCAAACACAGGTTAGATAGACATCTGTCAGGGATGGTGTAGACGGAGCTTGGTCCTGCCTTGAGGGCGGGGGGCTGGACTCGATGACCTCTCGAGGTCCCTTCCAGTCCTATGATTCTATGAAATACCGATCCCCCGTATCCCTGCCCAGCGTGAGTCTGACAGGTAGGAAGGCTGCAGGTACAAGTCCGAGAGCTCAGATTGCCTACTCAAAATGAACACTGCTGTATGGAAACAGCTTGGGAGTCAGAAGAGAATTAGGTTTCCACAGTCCAAGAACTGACTCATGTAGATCTCAGAAGGCAACACCCCAGGCTGCATGACTCTGCTGGAGAAGCGTAGTGCCTGAGCGGTTCCAACATTTCTGTGCTTCCTGTACAAAGGTCAGAGGTCAAACATCCCAGGGTCTCTAACGATGTCGGGCAGAAAGGAGACGTTTAAAAGCGCGGGGGAAAACCATGGACACAGGTATGGAATTGTCAGAAGATGCGAAGTCACCAAATGGAAAGTGAAAATGAAAACAGGGAAATTTTAAGAGCTAGAAAATGATGAAAGGAAAAATATCCCAGCAAATAAAGTCGGGGACATGGAGGGCTTGCACAGATCGCAGGCATCTCTCAGGCCACACTTACTTTGGCTTAAGCTGTGTGAGACATTATCATGGCTACCAAGACTCAAGGACGCCTGTGCCTGTGGCAGCTTTGCCAATTATTGCTGTTCTCCGCTGGAGTCATGTCACTGGACTGTAACCTACTCCATCACCAGCAAAGCAAATTTAACCGGTACAGCCTACAACTGCTGCAAAAAACGGGCAGATCATTTCCTTTGGAGTGTCTGGGAGACCTGACAGCCTTCCAGTTTCCTGAGAAGGTGCTGAAGCACAAGTTTCCACAGCATGCCCAGATGGCTGCCCATGAAATTCTCCAGCAGCTCTTTGGCATCTTCAGTAGGAACCTGCTCCAAACTCGCTGGGAAAAGGGAGATGTGGAGCTGTTTCGGAATGGGCTCCATCTGCAGACCAAACACCTCGAGAAATGCCTATCTACTAAGGGAGGGCGCCCCATTCTGAGACTGAAGAGATACTTCCAGAGGATCAAAGATTTCCTCGAGAAGAAGAAATACAGCACCTGTGCCTGGGAGACTGTCCGACTGGAAGCGCAGAGATGTTTTCTATATATGGACAAGCTCACGGTCATGATGAAAAACTAGGTGACAAACATTTTACTGTATTTGAGAAGTTTGGGAGAAGCAAAGAACTGGGAGCAAGAAAGCAGCTGACTTCAAACTGATAACAGACCCTGTGACCCTTTTCCATTCCATATATTTTTGACTGTTTCTCCTCTACAAAATGGATAATATGGCATATACTTTAGTGGGTGGGGTTGATTGCTTTAAGTGCTCTGAAGACAAAAGAAGCTACAGAACTATATGAATGCACTTCATGTATTATGTACACAGCCTCATCCAAAAGCTAAAAAAAAATGTTACAGTCTATTTTGCATGGGAAAAATATGTTTCAAATGTTATTTATTTTCTTTGTGCATTGTCAAAAATTAATCCTAAGTGTGATACTGGGGATTGTTACAGCTATATTTATTTATATTTATTTACCTATAGCTATTATATTTTTAAAATAAAATGTTTGACAAAAAAATGAACTGATTGGAATGAATGTGTTCTGTGAGCCGCTGTTCCCAATGCTTCTGTGAGCCTCACAATGTTTATTAATGGAATGTAACTTGTATTAGGCTAAGGTAGTGGTGGTACCTGGACCTCAGTGGTTCAGAAGTCAAATTAGCAGTCAATGTTACCCAAAGGAGGGACAGATGGATGAGAGCGGGGGAGGGTGTCATTCTCAGAGGAAAATGACTGACCATGTTATTTTATCAATTACAACTGCTAACACCACAGTAAAAACACCCTGGTTAATTAAATCAGACTGTTTTGCTGGCTTGTGCTGCAAAGCTGCAAGAGACACGTTAAAGCTGAAGTTCACAAGCCTGAGTATCACTGGCTTAAGGATCTAACCAGAGGCAGCAGTTTTCAGGGGCAACCAAAGTAGGGCAGAATCATAATGGATGGAAATTGGAAACAAAATTAGAGCCTTCCCGGATATCGCCAGATCCGCAACGGGTGGCAGATCACACAATCAGGACAAGCCTAGC